TTTCCCCCCCCCCCCCCCCCCCCTCTGACCTCGTTCTTCGTATTCCCATCTTTTACAGGTCGACCTCGTCATTGCTGGAAAGCGAACAGCGAAAAAGGGTCTCAACTTTTCCACCGGCACCATCTCCTCCCACTTGGTGAACCACGCGCCGTCTCCCGTGCTCGTGATCAAGTAGAACAAGGAACTCTGCTCGCGCCCACTCGGATCGGCTAGTCCGTGACGAGTAGTGTATTCACGACTATCTTCAATTATTTACAGGTAATAATGATGAGAAAAACGCTTAGAAACGCAATGTAGCGTCCACGCGATGGCACGCGGTTGACTGGTGATTTGAGCAGGTTTCGAACATCCTCGATGGACCGGTGCGAGCGCCGAGCGCTGCCGAAAGCGATCAGAATACTAAGCAATGCGAGAGCTTTCCAGACCATCATGTCAGAGATGGAATAGCAGCACTGATTTAAACCTCATCACATAAGAACCTTGACGATCATGTGATTAGCGCGCATTGAGACAAAGCAGTTGATATAGATTACTATGTTGTTCGGAGACGGTTCAGAGATGTTCGGGGCGGAGGGTGCTTGCGAGGTCAGACCGAGCAGATGGCGATGATCAAAGAGCAAGACTTCTCGTTCAGCCTCGAAGCTGAGGCAGACTGCACACAGTCGGCTTGATCTGATCGCTTAGCCCGTCGTATGCCCATTCACTCCAAGCCAGATGCGTCCTTGTATTTGTCCTGTGAAGCAGAGGGCGAAGTTGAGTAAACAAGATTCGTTAGCGCGAGCCCCCCTCACGTGAAGTCGTGGGGCAGAACTCACTTTGTGTATCCAGGACATGCCGACGGTATCGTACCCTTGGGCTTCCTGTGAGTCAGCAGAGCAGGTTCGCGTTCGTTAGCACGGCTAGCGCGAGCACACGCAATCGATGACGGACAACGCACCGCCATGCGGTAATACTTGGCAGCTTTCTTGAGGTCCTTCTTGCAGCCTCCCTTGCCCGCAGCCAGAAGTGCGCCGGCTTCTGCTTGAGAGTCAGCGTCTCCAAGCTTAGCAGCCAGCTCAAAGTACTCGAGCGCCATGCGTTCTAGACCGATGCGTGTGTCAAGGTCAGCTAGGCTGGAGGATGCGGCGGTGATGCAAAGTGTCCCGCATGCAACACTCACTGTCCATCTTGACACCCCAGCCGTAGCAAAAGCACTTTCCTAGCTCGTAGACTGAGAGCTTGAGCTCGGACTGTACGGTCGAATGAAGCGGCGAGGCGAAATATCGCAGCAGGTGGTCAGCGGTAGCCCTGCGTTCCGCTGAGTGACGGCGCACTCACCCTGATGGCTCGAAGTTCCGCTTCAGTCTTCTGTCCGCTACTCTTGCCAGTGCTCATCATCTCGCCAGCTCTAGCCGCAGCTCGGCTGATCCACTCGAAGCCCTTTCTGGGATCCTTTCTAGCGCCCCAGCCTTCGCGCAAAGCCATGCCCCACATGCACATGCCAACGACGCAACCACCCTCCACTCTGGCAGACCTCTCAAAGTAATATGCGGAGCGGGCGAGATCTCCAGATTCGTGGTAGCTGATTCCTTGCGAGAGAAACTCTTCGGCTGCTGTCGGGCCTGTGCGCGTATCTGCTCGAAGAGGTCCTGCCGGCCCGGGCGCGACTGATCCAAGCGACGCGCCCAGCCCTCGAGCCGAAGGCGTTGTTGCGATGGATACCGATGATGGCTTCGATTGCAACGATGGAGGCCGCTGATTCTGAATCTGGCTTGGATGAAGTTGAGATTGCGAAGACCGGTTCTGTAGCGGACCTCGCGTTTCGGCCGAATTGTAGCCAGGATCACCTTGAGGAGGCCAACGAGTGGTCTGCACATTGCTGCGGTGCAGGTCGTCTTGCTGCGCCCATCTTTCTCCAGATTGAGGCACGGTGCCGTTCTCAGCTCTACGTGGCGGCTGTTCGTCATAGTGCGAGCGGATCTGAGCAAGTTGCGCAGCCTGACCGTCTTGCCGAGCAGGCGCAGCAGAAGGCAATCCGTTCGGTTGCTGCTCGATCGACGACCGGCCGCCCGAGTGGTGCGAACGTCTTGAGTACATGCTCTCTAGACTCTCTCGCCTGTTTGATTGATCTTGTGGTCCATCACCAGGCTCATACAAGACCGTACCCACGCTCATGCGGCTGCTTGCAAGCGTACTAGAGCTGTCCCTGCGCGTGCTGTTTTCTAGCCGGAGCGTCTCGACATCGAGATCCGATACCAAGCTTTCCCTGCCGTCTGCATTCTTGATTGCTTGAGCTCTCATCTTACCGATCGCTGGCATGTATGGTGAAGGGGCGTTGGGATCCGAATAACCTGGAGTGTCGCCGCGAGGAGCGGGCGGCGGCATTCGGCCAGCAGGATGACCATGCGTGGCTCGTCCACTCGAGATTCGGCCACCCGACGAGCGGCGTTGGCCATCGGCACTGAGAATGGGCGAGTCGAGTCCCCTGGCCAAGATTGCAGAAGGACCAACTGGCACACGTTGCAGCTGTTGCTGCGAGGGCAGGGTCCAGCTTTGCTCAGCAACAGGGACAGTCTCCACGACTGCGCTCATCGGGGACATGCCGCCCCGGGGGACACCTTGACCCGACGAGGATGCTTCAGCCACACCCTCGTGGCTCGAGACTGATGCTGATGGCGTTGGCGGCCAAACGAAGACGTGCGCGCCGTTTGGTCCCGACGCATCGCTTCCACCACTACTGCTACCACTTCCAACGCTGTTTGGGGTAATAGTGCTGACAGATGCGATGGATGCCATCGAATCCCGCGTATTGGCGTGACCAGACCGATACGTGGGCCCATTCTGACCGGAGAGCATCGGTGTCTTGAGATCATCATCGTCGCCTGCTACCTCGGGCTGAGCGTCAACGTCGTCAAGCTCTGGCGCAATGCTGCGCAGAGTATCTCTCCGACTTGGCGCGTGATTCGAGGGTGAGCCTCTGATGGTCGGCGTTAGCGAGACGACATGCTGCCGACTCATTGAGGGCTGAATCGGCACATCGGCTTGGTCGAATGCTGTATGACGTTGTTGATGGTAGGTGCGCGCATTTGGTTGGAGCAGAGTAGCGTCATGACTGGGCTGGGCAGAGCGACCTGGTGCAGCCTTGAGCTCAAGGCCACCGATGTGCTGCGCTTGTGTGCCATTGTAGCCCTCCAAATGCTGACCTGATGCCAGACTGCGCTCCAAAGTCCCCAAATGACCTCCATACTTCGCATTGGTGCTGGCAGCATTCCGAGATTGCGTCCCTGTGATTGCTCCTTGTGTAGCCACTTCGTCATCCACGTCATCATCTTCGTCATCTCTGCCGCCCCATTCGCCATCCCCGTACAGGCTCTCTTCGTCATCCACCTTGTTCGCCCAAGCCTTTCCCCACCTTCCATTCTCGCCAAACTCGCTTGATCGCACCGTATCTATGCTTCCTCTGCGTTGCAATGCCAAGCCTCGGACCGCACTTGCTACCTCATCATCCACGCCACCCGTGCTCCAAAGCTGGCCCATGATAGAAGATCGGTCGTTATCGCCCGTGATGGTATTGAAGCTGGCATCTGATGACATGGAGCTTCGAAATGCGTTGCTGCTCAACAGCTGCGAGCTTTCCCTCTGCCGCGCTGGTTGTTGCGGGGCGCTAGCGAATCGTCGAGGCCCGTAAGCGTCCTCGTCTTCTTCTGCTATCGCACCAGCAGAGCTGGTGCTCGGCTGCTCTGATCGATCCGTCAAGGTTTGACTGCTCAGTCTCGCCGCCCTCTGACGTCTCACCTCCTCTCTCCTCCGTTCTTCCTCACTGCGCACAGTTTCCCTTTGTTGAGCTTGGCGATACGAGCCTTGCTCAAGTGTATCTCTCTCGTCCACTTGCGGTGGTGCGCGTTTGATCGAGGTGCTCCTGGACAGCGCAAAGGCGCGGTTGTAGATCTGAGATCGACTTGCAGGTTGCTGAGCAAGGAGTGGGGCGCCCGGATCTGCCCCGTTCTTCATGCCTTGCACAAGAGCGTCCAAAGGTGAGCCTACCGCCCCTTGCTTGATCCATGACGCAGAAGAAGATGAAGGGCTGCTGTGAGTGTAGGAGGATGCTGGTGATGTATCCGCCTCGCGTTCCCGACGACCACCGCTGCCGCTGCCAGAGGAGTAGGAGCGACCGCTGCTGCTTCCGCCGCTCTGCTCACTGTTCATGCTTCCCTGATCGGAATCAGCTGCTCTAGACAAAGCAGCCGACCGAGCTGAGGGATTCGGATACGATGCAGCTCCACTTTGATTGGGTTGGCCCTTGTACATCGCGTTTCTTCGCGCCCACAGGCTTCTCAGCTGGGCGAGGCGCGACTTGTAGACGAAATGGGTCGGTGTAGAAAGAGATCTGCCTTGGCAAGTACGGCTTCTAGAGGACAAATCCGCCAGTCCTCGACCAATGGTGTATGTTGATGCATTCGCCGCGTGCGAGTTCTGTTAGATTGCCCCACAGGAAGCCAGCTGCGCTAGGCGGCTATGCAAAGGCGTCAGGTCGTCCGGCGTACGAGACATTCAAGAGCGCGAGCTGTCTAGCTTTGCGGACCGTATGGCAGAGGAGCAATGGTCTCGCATAGTAGCTGAAAAGGAAATGAAGAGCAAAAAGTCAGAGGATACGCGGTGGTGTTGTCGCGAGCATAGCAACCACCGATCATGAATAGTCGCGAATTGAATGCATGGGTCCACATCAGCCAAGACTCACGACGCTGCTGTTTGTGGGGCTCTTCCTCGCGACTCTCCTATGAAGAGCAAGCATCTGATCGAGTGACGGAGCGCAACCCAGCCGCGCGCTTGTGCAGCAACCACAATAGCAGCTGGCATCACCATGCAGCCGTCACGAGGGTGTCACGGGTGTAGTACCGGCACCGTAC